TTTTTTTTTTTTTTTTTTTTTTGGTGCTGGGGCTCGAACTTGGGTCCTTGCATTTGCAAGGCAGGTGGCAGAACCACTGAGCTAAATCCCCAGCCCTGTTGAAATATTTCTAATTAACATGATATATATCCTAAGTGCTAACATTGTTATGTCCCAGAAAAATCAAGAGGAAAGCGGAGATCAGTGCTATTTTTGAGTTTGTTGTTTCAAGACTACTGTTCAGAACAGTGAATGGTCAAAGGCTCCCTATGGAGACAGCAAGGTTCTTTAAATGCTGTCATTAAAGTTTCCTGGCTATATTGCCATTTTCGCTGTGTCCTTATTTTTTATTTTGTATCCTTTCTCCAGTGAGTTAAGTGGAAATGTGTGTGATAACTGTCACTTGAGAATCACCCTGAGGGCCAGGGATTTAGCTCAGTGCCACCACCCCTGCCTTGCAAGTGTAAGGTCCTGAGTTCGATCCCTAATACCAAAAACAAAACAAACAAAACGAAGCACCCGGAATGAACGTGTTTTATTCTCAGTGACTTCACCTCATGTAAAACAGTTTACTAAAAAGTACCTGCCTAAAGCACCAGGAAAGAGGTCTGCCTGCACATTCATCAGGGCTCCTTCTGAATCTGGGATTTGGATTCACACCTACCCATTTACTGTGATCAAAACCTTGTCCTGTCCCCCTCCATTGGCCCTTCACTGTAGTGAATCCATTTTTCCAGAGTCTTCCAAGTAGAGAGCCTGCTGCCGCTTTACTGGGCTCACTTATGGCACTACATGGCAGTTGTCCTTCTCAGGCAGGCACGCACATCCAGACAGAACACAGCCAGCACCTACAGAACATCGAGCAGAGGGATGACTTGGTGGCTTCTGTGATTTTGAAAGCTGTCATTCTCTATGTCGTAACTCTTGAGTAGCTTCCCACTCTCCTTGGGTTGAAGGAAATGCTCCTTGTCAAGACCTCACATGGCTGAGCCTGATTCACTTTCCTCTGCAGCTTCCTCTGAGCCACCCTCGCTTCATCCTCGCCTCTTAGTTCTGTTTCCTTTCGGGTTCATGTTTGCCTCGCACGCATCCTCTCGCACACACCAAGATCTTGTTTCTCTTTCCTTTTGTGTGGTGCTGCAGAGGGAACCCAGGGCCTAACATGCTAAACATATACTCTGTTTTGGCTTGGAATGCTTTTCTCCCCAGAAATCCTAAACAGCACATCCCTACCAAGGAGTGTGTGTGTAGCCAGGGTAGCTCAGATGGAGGGCACAGCGGGAAATCACGCTGCTCTGAAAGTTGTCCTGTGGCTGTTTTACTAAGATATTTTTATGGCTAGGATGAGCATTTGGCAACAGGTGATATAAGTGTTTTCTAACCTAGAATTACTAAGGCTCCCACCCCTCTCGGTTCTTATCTAAGAGCCTTATAAGGTGTAGGGTATATATTTTTTTAATAAGCAGTATACAATTTGAAGGTATAAAAGCTATAGATAGTAAAAAGTAAGTGTCCCTCCCCAACTCCCAGCCACCCCGTTCTACTCCCTGCAGGCAGCACAGTTCCTAATTCCTAACATACACCTTTGCAGACGCCCTATGCACATAAGCTTGTATGTCCTGTCTTTCTTCGAAAATGTAAATGGTAGTATATTATATGCACAGTTCTGTTTCTGTCTTCTTGCCCTTGACATTATATCTTGCAACTTCTTTATATCAGTATGTTTAGAGCTGCTTCTCATTTTAACAACAGTAGTATTCTATTAGCTGTGTTATAGTCCCTACTGATGAACATTTGAGTGACTCCCATTCATTTGCTGTTATAAATACTGTCACAACAACAGCCTCTCCACTTCCCAGATTGCTGCTGCTTTAATTTCTTTGTGGTCATATTTACTTTCCAGTTTCATATAATGTTCAAGAAGAGTGAGATTTTAACTCATAGGGGATGTATACTTAAAAAGGCTGGAGGCAGTGCTCAAAATATTGTCTTGGAAAGAAATCATATCACCAGAGCTGTGCTGAGTGGGATCATTTCTGCCTGCTTGTGCCTGGGCCTTTGCCCATCGGTTTGCATTCAGGGGCATTTTAGTGAAGTGATCCTGAGAAACACCTATGGCTTTAAGGATGGCACTGAGGGCCCCAGTCCCTACATGATATAGAGTCCTTTCTGTGAGTGTGGAGGGGAAGTCTGTGTCGCATTCTGTTTTTAGGTGGTGTGGATGTTATAGCTGGCTGGTCCAGAAGCTTAAAGTGCACAACTAATTCCACGGCACACCTTTAGTAAGTGTGTGCACAGGGCTTGACAGTAGAGCTTTTGTATATAGACTTTATTCTTTATTCTCTCTTATAATTCCCCCCCGCCGCATATCCCCTTTATTTCAGTTTCCTTGATTTTTAAAAAATCTCATTAAAGATACTTTTGTTAATAGGAGAAGGAGCATAAAATGAAAAGTGAATACAATATTTTATTTATCTATAGCATGGTATGTGGCTCATAGATGAGCAATACATGTTGAATAAGTGAGTTTTGCTGATTGTTCACTAGGACATGAGGAACTTGCGACTTGCCTATAAACAGGAGGAACAGCACAAACTTGGGATATTTGAAAACCTCAGTAAACATGCATTTCCTCTTTCCAATGGGCAGGTAAGTGCACCAAAGTAAAGGCTTTCTTAGTGTATTTCTGGTGGTTCTATAATTTCATGTTTAGTTGTTCTCTTCCAGAGGTTTCCTATATCTTTCTCTATGTTGGTAGCTGAGGATAGACTATTTGAATTTTTTTCAGTTTTCTATAATGATTAAGAAAAGCTACCAATTTTTTACTTTAAAATTTGTGGATGAAAATAGAACTCTTAATATATTCAGCTCATATGAGAATGAACAGCTTTCATATTGGGTGTATGGAATGAGATAAATACTGACATGTGTTTTGTGGTTTTTGTATCCAGGCACTATTTGCGTTCAACTATAAAGAAAATTTTTCAGTTAATGGCTGGAAAGTTTATGATCCAGTAGCTGAATATAAGAGACAGGTAAAGTATGTTGCTTATCAAACTGAAAATAATAGGTTGAACATCTTTTTCTCTTCTAAAAAGTTAGAAGAGGAGAGGAAACTTTCCACAAGTTGTACATGGGCATAATTTCTCTGTCTTCTGGGTGCCCTCTTCTCCTATGCCAGCCCTTTGACTCTTGGCATGGTTGTTCATCCTTTTGCAAAGGGCGAGGAGAGCTAAAGGACAGAGGTTTCCAACCAAATCTTCTAGGTGGCTTCTATGAGATGATCTGGTTGTGATAAGGAGGGTTCCAAACCCGTGACTTAGGTTCAGTTTGGGCAATGTGGTCGGACTATCTTGGTAGGGCATTGAGCTCTTGGGACTGGGAATTCCTTGGAGCACTGTGAGTTTTTCCACTTCTTCCAGTACATTCTTATTGTCATGACATAGACTTTCAAGTTACAATCAAAAATAACAAATAGGTGTGATTCATGCTTAATACTTTATCAAAATGGAAAAGCATGTTTTCCCCCTCTTCTTTCTTCTCTACCATTCTACAGGGCTTGCCAAATGAGAGTTGGAAAATATCCAGAATAAATAGTAACTATGAGTTCTGTGACACTTACCCTGCTGTCATTGTTGTGCCAACCAGTGTAAAAGATGATGACCTATCCAAAGTGGCAGCCTTTCGAGCAAAAGGCAGAGTCCCTGTAAGTAATAAACACTGTCATTTAGATAGAAACATGTACTTCATTAGATCTAGTAAGGACAGATGCACACAGAAAATCTAGCGAACAAGATGGAAAATACAAAAATAAGCTTAGAAACCTGAAGACAGCTGATGGGGATGGTGCACACCTGGAGTCCCATCACTCAGGAGATTAAGGCAGGTGGATCACTGCAAGTTGGAGGCCAGCTAGGGCTATTCAGTGAGTTCAAGGCCAGTGTGGAATACACATTGAGACCCTGTCTCAAACAAGCTTGAACATCTTTGATTTTAAGAAATATATAAACATTCTTTTTTGCTGTCTCCCATTTACATAGTTTCCTACTTCTAAGTTAATGCTCTCGCAATATAGGAGATAATAAAAAATAAGTAGTGAGAAAAAGTATGCTGTTGCATTAGCATTTTACGTCAAATCATCCTAGAGAAAATACATTCAGTTCCTGCTGAGCGGAGTGCTACAGCCGCGTGGGAGAGCACCATTAAACAATCGTGGGCAGCGGGGTGGGATGGATTGCCCACCATTTGCATCTGGTATGACCCTGAGTCATGGGCCCCTGGAGGAAAACTGAAGGTTTGGTGACAGAGTTTTAGGTTTTACCAGAGACTGTATATTCACTTTTTTTCATCCTGCCACATGTGTTATCAAGGAGATAGAGAATTTTTTTAATTAGGAGATAAGATTAAACTAGTGAATCAAACAGAAATGGGGCTAGATTTTAGTAATAGTTTGACTTAGGTTTTATTTTGCCTAGAATCATAGAATTTGAGAACTCACTTGGTCAGACATGTTTCAACCTGACCGAAACATTGAGTCCCTTAGCCCCTGCAGTGCTGTGATTGGTCTGTCCACTCTCAGCTTTGAGGAGAATCTTCAGGAGAAACCACTTTTCCTACCAAGTAATTCAAGCATGCAATGCTTCCGGAACTGTGCTAATTATCTGTTGCTTCCAAACACTAGGTGTTGTCATGGATTCATCCGGAAAGTCAGGCAACAATTACCCGCTGCAGCCAGCCACTGGTGGGCCCCAGTGATAAACGCTGCAAAGAGGATGAGAAGTACTTGCAGACAATAATGGATGCTAATGCACAGTCACACAAGCTCATCATCTTTGATGCCCGACAAAACAGTGTTGCTGATACCAACAAGGTACTTTCTCGATAGTGTTACAGAAACATAGGCTGTCTTCATATGCACTTCCTGTAAGTTGTCATGCATTTGCAACAGCTCACTGGGCTCCTCCCCACCTGAAGTTCAGGCTTTTGGGATATTTATTCCCTGGCTGTTCCTCCCTAAGGTCTTTTATGCTGTTCCACAATCCTGTCTTCTCAATCAATTAAGCAAAGACTCACAGAATTATCTAAAAGATTATTTTAGTGAAATGACTGTGAGACCCTTGGAAGTTCCCTAATTTAAGAAATGTAAGGATTATTTGATTAATTCATATCTGTCCTGAAGCTCTTTTAGAATGGATTCAGCCATATGACCCTGCAGACATACAAAGTTTCTATAAGTGACATGAAGCAGTGGTGGTACACATCAGGTGACAGTGTATCGCAATATAATCACCTCTGCTGGCAGTTCCCATTTGATCCTCACTAACTGAAGGCGGCTGTGTGCTTTGTATCGCTGTGTGCTTTGAAGTCAGGCCACAAGTCCCTGCTATTCAAACAGGAAGTTCTGATTTGAGGCATTTCTGTGTATTACAGATGGCTTTTCGATAGTGTGCTGCTGCAGGTAGGCATTTGGCACACAGAGGACCTTGCCCTCTCCTCAAGTAATTTCAGGACTAGAAAGGTGACACCCACTCTTGCCATCTCATGCCTGCATTTAAAGTATCCCTTGAGTAGCACATATCTGATGAGTGCCCACTAGGGGAGGGTGTTGGGGAAATCCAAAGCCGGAAGAGCTGAGGTGCTGCAGGTAAGGGGTGTGAGCTCTGTGTGCTGGGGAAGCTGCTAAAGCACGTGGCTTGGCATGGTCAGCAGGCAGAAATGGGCAAAGCATTCCAGGCAGCATGAGTGCCCATCCAACAGTGGGTCAGGGCGTGCTGTTCTCCAGAATGGCAAGAAGGATGAATAGGCCCTGGTCATTGCTCTGCCAAGTGCCCCTCTGCAGTGCTTGTGATCTGACTTTGATGCTCTTGTCAGCTTGCTCCTTTTCTTTCCTCAATGATTATTTCATCATTGACCACAGTCTCCAAAAAGGCAGCTTTCTGCCTCCCTCATCTCACTGTCCTTGGAAGCTGTTACCTTCTATTTCAGGAGCAGAGAAACCATTACACATATACTCACCACTTGAGTGCCTGCCATGTACCAGGCACGTGGTTATCCGCTATGGCATAAAGGAAAATAAAGTATGCTCAGAGTGAATGTGGAAGGAGCCTGTGCATTTCCTGCAGGACCCAGGACAGTTATTTCAGCTCTCCAGACCGAGACTACTTTGTTTCTAAAATGAGAATGACAATATTTCCTACTTTGGAGCAGGTGTGAAAGTTAAATGAGGAAAAACTATAAAGGATCCAGAACAGTGGCTCTCACTTGCTGAGAGAGCATTCAGCTAAGATGAGCTGCCCTCATTACAGACCTCACATGGACTGCTCCATTCTCTTGGTTTCTATGACTTCACACTCCCTGTGTTCCTCTCACTCTCCAGCCTGTCCTTTTTGGAATCCTTGGCTGGTTGCTCTTCCCCTTCCCACCCTTCAAATGGGAGTGCTCCTTCACTCGGTCTGGGTCCTCTTTGCTACTCTGCACAATCTCTCCAGACTCTCACCTGGCTTCCGATGCCAGGACTTTCAATACTGTCTGTACGCTGACTGACTTTCTATCCTGCATTGAGACTGAATTTCCTTCCTTTTGTATGCTTCACATCTCCACTTGGCCATCTCTCAGGTCATAAGATCACAGAAAACTCTACCAACCTAAGAATCAGTGTGGTGGAGTGCTAAGAACCTTTGGCTTTGGATTTGGCGATAGCTGGGCTTTTCTCCAGGTGCTGCCACTTGGCGCTCTGTAGAACTCTGGGCAAGTTACTTAACCTAGCTCTCTGAGCCTCAGGTTCCCGCTTCTGCAAAGTGGGAAGTAGCACCAGTGTTTTGTATCCAGGCTTCCATAAGGATTAAAATGAAGGGAGAATAATGCACAGAACTCAGCCTGGTGGTGAGTGCATAGCCAGCGCTCAGTACTTGATGCTGCTGTGCCTGTAGTTCTCATTGGTCATTGGTCGAGGGGGCTGACCAGGTGTCTGGCCTGGAGGGTAAGTAAGGTGGTGTCAGTTACTGCAGTGGGGGAGACTGGAAGGGGAACAGAGCAGGCAGAAGAAAAGGGAGGCTCTTGGTTTCCTGGGGCTCGTATACAAACTTGGTGGCGTACAGTGGCAGATATGTGTTCCCTCACAGTGTTGGAGGCCAGCAATTCAAAATCTGCCAGAGCCGTGCTCCCTCAAAGGGTTCCAGGGGAGAATCTACTAATTGCTTCTTCCAGCTTCGGATGGCCACACCAGCATTCCTGGGCTTATAGCCACATTGCTATAATCTCTCCATCTGTCTTCATGTGGCCTCCTCTTCCCCCTCCTCTTCCTTCTCCTCTTAGTTTCTGCATCTGTTCCTCTTTCTCATCTAAGGACACTTGCGATGGCATTTAGGGCCCACTTGAGGTAATCCAGGATTATCCTGTCATCTCATGATCCTTAACTCGAGGTCACATTCACAGTTGCAAGGGCTTAACGCAGATTTCTCTGGTGGGACCATTTTTTTTTTTTTTTACTTCCCACAGAGAGGTATCCTTCAGCAGAAAGTCCTCTTTGCACTCTGTGGGTCATTAGTTAAGTCAGCTTTTGTACATCTCTCCATCCATCTTGTCACTGCTATGGTATTGTGCCAAGGAATTACAAAATGTGGGAAAAGTGATATTCACAGAGGTGCGTGAGGGCAGTTCCTTGTATTTTACTCTGTGCAGAAGAGCTAGGATGCCAAGTTGCATATCTGCAGTCATTTTTACTGTAGTAAATATATATGGCTGGAAACATGTAAGGCTGCTTATATGTGTAAGTCCCATCAGATCTTCTGCACATATGACTATGTTGTATGCAGATAGACAGTCTGGCTTCTTCCTTCTCTCCTCCTATAAGTTTGAGTGTTGGAGATTTTGTCCCAGCAACAAGAAAAGTGACTAAGACAGCCCTCCAGTTTGCGATAACCTTGCAACAGCAGCTCTGGGAATCTAATTCGATACCCCTGTGTTATTGGTATAAGTCCCACTTGGTCATGGTGAGTGGCATCCTTAATACGCTGCTGGATTTGGTTTGCTAGTATTCTTTTGATTTGTATTCTTCAGGGATACAGGCCGTTTGTTTTGTTTCCTTCGGCATCTTTGTCTAGTTTGGTATTAGGGCCCTAATGGCCTTGTGGAATGAATTAGAACTGAGCCGGGCCCATGGCTGTCCTGGGACTGTGAGACGAAAGGCTGGCTGGCTATAGTCGGGATTGTCTCTCCACAGACCATCACCGAGAAGAGGACCTGATGGCGAGTTGCTTGGGCTGTTACAGTCAAAACCACCTGCTCCAGCAGAGAGGCAGAGTGGCAGCACCAAAGGTGTTTAAGTGAGATTTTCTTTTCAGAACCTGACATGGAGTGCAGGCTTGGCTTCAACCTGTTGCATTTGAGCCGTGTACCTGTGTGGGGAAGAGAAGGCTCTAGAATGCAAAATGAGGCCAGGCCTGAAGTTGAGATTGTTGAGCAGTGGCCACGGCCTTGCAGGGGCGGGGGGGAGACAAGGTCTCTGGAGTGAGGTTTGTACTGGGAAACAGAAGTTCAGTAAGGAAAGAGTGGCTGAGTGGAAGGAGGAGGCCAGGAAGGATAGCAGGTCCTAGAAGCCAAGAGGAGGAGGAAGCGTTTCCAGGAGCACTGGAGGAAACGTGTGGACCTTGGAATTCGCTAGCATGTGAGCGTGCTGTGTTCCCTCGCTGGGGCCGCAGTGTCCCCTCCTTCTCCCCAGAATGCATCACATTCCAGCTGATGGGTGCGCTGGCGGCAGAGAGCTTGTTGCCATGGCCTGGCATGTAGCAGGCCTCCACCAACCATGGGAAGGCTGGTCTGAGATCAGGGAGCTCAAGTGCACACTTCAGATGCGCTTCCCCAGGGACACTCGGTTTTCATTTTGCACAAGGTTGGTAATGGCCCCACTGCCACTGCTGTCGGCTTCTTGGGCACTTGGGCAAAGATGGTAACAGTGTCTCAGTGTCATTGGCTCCCCTCAGGAACCTTACTTTGCCCCTGGAAAGAGGTATGGCCAGCAAGTTCTTATTTTCCAGAACCCTCTGAATTTTACTCTAATGCTCCTGCCTGAGTGTAGGTGGGGTCCCTCCTCACCTGCTTTCTCATGTCTGGAGACGTCCAGGTGCCTGTTTGCAGCCTGGCACGGAATTGGCACGTAATGCTCATTTGACTCCCTAACTTCATTGTTTGATGATCACTTTTCTCATTTGTATTTTTATGACCAGTTTCCAGACAGCAAATTGACTTTAAATATGATCTCCTGGTTGACTGACAACAGCTCTTGGCATACACATCCTGTGTGCCAAAATGCTGGATCTACCTGCAGCCCCAGCTCAGCTCCCCACAGAGCTTCTTTGCTATAAGCTGCTCACTCTGGGCTGGTTCCTCAGCCTGGCTTATGGCCTGGTACACAGTAGGTCAGTGACGGGGAACCTTTTAGATCTCTCAATGCTAACAAACAGCTGGCTATGGCACGCATGCTATAGATTTACCACCATGAAGTAGGTCATCCCTGTCTGGATCCCTTCAGGTCACCTACCTTTCACGTGCCAGCAGCCTGGGCTGTGTGCAGTGCCTTCTGGACAAAGGCTCACAACGTGCAGGTCATGTGCCACAGCCTCAGCCAGGCCCTCGGAACTGCTGACTGTCCTCTCATTTCTCCCGCAGCCCCTCTCCATTCTCATAGGCCATTTCAAACTGTTTCTGACTCCAAGGCTCCTGCCCCATCCCTTATCTGCTTCCTTCCTGACACAGGACAGATTGTCAGAGAGGACCTTCCTCCCCACCCTGCCTCCCATTGCCATGGAAGAGATTTTCTTGCTAGCTCTACCTGCCTGCTCAGGGACCTTACTTACCTGGTCATCTCTCTGTCTTCCATCAACACCCATTCATATGCCAGTCACCTCCATATTGACACTCACAGCTCAGACCTCTCTGAGGACTATACATGACTGATGCTCACTGTGCTCAGAACCAAACTATATCCTGCAGAATCTGCTGCTTCTCCAGCCTCTCACATTGCCCAGCCCAGAATCATGGGTGTTTCCCAGCCTGTCCTTGGCACTGGTCAGCCACTGGGTCCTGCCTTTGAAGAATCTCATCATCCATGTCCCTGTGCCCTGCTGCCTCCACCATGCCTGCTTCAGCCAGCTGACTCCCCATCTCTGCTAGTCACCTACTGAAGGTCCTCCTTCTGCCAATCTTTTCTCCCCAAGGCAGCTAGGACTTCTCAGTAGAGGAGGCTGATTCTTTTCAGTCTTGCCGTCTGGCCCTGCCATGATCTCTGACCTAATTGTTCATTGTTTTTGCCACTGCCCTTTACTTCTCTCTGCTGAACTTATATTGCTGTCAGGAAGCCAAGTCCTTGTCTATCTCTATGTCCCCTTTCCCTGGCTGTGCTCATCCTTCCACCCTGACTTATGTTTCCTTCTTCTCTGGTCATGCAGTCTTGGCCAGTGCTCCTGGTGCCACCTGTGCTGTCCTGGATCCGAGCCCCATAGCCCTGTGCTGCCTTCAGCCCTGCTTTCTCCCTCTCCTACACCAGGCTGTGCGGGCAGGGAGGACAGCCTTATTCACTGACATTCTTGAGGTTGCCGTCATTCTTGCCCCCAGACTTAGCTTAGGGCTAGACATCCATAGTCACTTGGTAAATAATAGGAGACTAAATGAAGAGCATGTCTTTGGGTCCACAGAAATGTTTATTTTTTGTTTATGCATTTATTGAGATCAGATTCAGATAACAAAATTCACCATTTTAGGCACTGCAGTTTACAATTCACATATTCCAAGTACATGCACAGTGTTATGCATCAGCATCACTGTCTAATTCCAGAGCATTCTTGACACCTCATAGGGAAACCCCCCGTACTCATTAGTCAGTCTCAGCAGTCCCCCAGCCCCCGATACCACTAACCATCTTTTGTCTCTGTGAATTCCCCCATTCTGGACACTTTATATTAGTGGAATCAGATGTGATTGTTTATGTCTGGCTGCTTTTACTTGTTTTCAAGGTTCGTCCTTCTTTTAGCATTAGTATATCATTCCTTTTGATAGCCAAATAATATTCTACACGGATGTACAGGGAGACCACATTCTGTTCATTTATCTGTTGATGGATCTTTGAATCATTTCTTTCTTTGGCTATTGTGAATAATGCTGCTACGAATGTTTGTGTACAGATTTTTGGTAAGATCCCCATTCTAGACTCTGCAGGATGTTTTCCCAGGAGTATAATGGCTGGATTATATGGAATTCTTCTTGAGGAACCACTGAACTGTCTTCCACAGCAGCTGTACCATTTTATGTTCTCACTAGCAAGATAATAGTGTTCTAGTTTCTCTGCATCCCTCATCACAGTTGTGTTTTGAATGTTGATCTCTGTACAATATAAACTCATTGCAGACCAGATTTTGTTACGAGATTACCAAGGAGCAAGCCGTATCCCTCCTTTTTGTAACACATGCATTTCATTTTACTTAAATTACTTAGATAGTTTTCTGGCTTGTGACCTCTAAATTGCTTTATATTCAGAAATTTTGTGGTAGTACAACTTTTCTAATCAGATAGATGGTACTAACAGAATGAAGCTCTTTAAACCTAATTCTTCTTGAGTGAGAGCTGGTTGTTAGTAGCTTTTAAAAATGATAATGATGAAAGATGGTTATGATTTGATTTGTGTCCCCAGAAAAAAGAAGTGTTGAAGTCCTAGCTCCTAGTACCTGTGAATGTGACCCTATTTCACAGTAGGGTCTTTGCGAATGTAATCAAGTTAAGATAAGGTTGTGTTGAATTAGGACAGGCCTTAATTGGATGTGAAGGGTGTCTTTATAAGAAAGGAAGAGGCAGAGACACAGGCAGAGAGGAGAAAGGTAGGTGGAGATGGAGGCAGAGGCTAGCGTGATGAGTTTATACCCGGGGTGCCTGGCACTGCCAAGAGCTGGGAGACCCAAGGAAGATCCTCCCTGAAGGCTTCAAAGGGAGCGTGGCCTGCCGGCACCTCGATTTCAGACTTCCTGTGTTCCTGACAGTGAGATGATAAGTGTCTGCTGTTTTAAGCTTCCCAGTCTGTAGGACCTTGTTCCAGCAGCCCTGAGACACTCCTTCAGGGATAGGGAGGTTTGCTGAGATGAGTTTCCTGCTGCTTTGGTGGCCTATATCTGGTAGCACTAGAAACAACAGAAAAACTAATTCCAGATGGGATGATGTATATCGTGCTTTTCCCAGGCAAAGGGTGGAGGATACGAAAGTGAAAGTGCTTACCCAAACGCAGAACTTGTGTTCCTGGAGATCCACAACATTCACGTGATGAGAGAGTCACTGCGGAAGTTAAAGGAGATCGTGTACCCTTCCATTGATGATACTCGGTGGCTATCCAACGTGGACTCGACACACTGGCTGGAGTATATAAGGGTAAAGGGTCCAGTCTTCATCTGCCTTGCTGTTTGGACTTACCTCCATCTGTGCCATAAATATGTGTCTCTCCGAGTGATTTCTCAGCATGGCAAAGAAATGCATCTTTGCTGTGTGTGTGTGCATTTTCTTAGTGTCTGCCAGCGGCTCCTGGACTGTGGTCTTTGTGGACAGCTTTTGTGACATAATCGAAAGGGAATAATACTTGACTCAGGTCAGATTTTTAAGAGAACTTTGTGACCCTTTAATAAAGGTCCCTGTTTACTGCTATAGTTTTTCTTGATTAGTGAGTTTTTAATTTTACAAAATGCAGGCATTTCTTATTTGTTCTCAATTGATTACATGGCATTTTTTTTTCCTTTCTGTCAATACTGGGGATGGAACCTAGGGCCTAATACATATTTGGCAAGTACTCTACCACTGAGCTACACCCTAGCCCCCTATATGACATTTCTTATTTGGTTTATTGACCAGGGCTTCCCTAGTTCTCCCCAGCAATATTTCACGCAGTACTTGAAATTGACCATAGAATTGTCTGTTGTGCCTTCTCTGAAGATGCTTCTTGCTGGGGCAGTAAGAATCGCTGATAAAATAGAATCTGGGAAGACCTCCGTGGTGGTACACTGCAGTGATGGCTGGGACCGAACAGCCCAGCTCACATCACTGGCCATGCTGATGTTGGACAGTTACTACCGGACCATTAAAGGATTCGAAGCTCTCATAGAAAAGGAGTGGATAAGCTTTGGACACAGGTTTGCACTGGTGAGTTGAGACAGTGAGGTTCTGCCTAACTGTTTTGCTCCACATGCATGCACCATACAGCATACGTTTAGGCTTTCTCCTCTGTACCAGACCTGAATGTCCATACCAGAGTACTGTGGACTCCAAGATTGCATGGTCCTGATAGGGCTTTTTTAATCCAGTCATGCCTTTTTGAACAAATGAAATTAAGTATTTTAAAGTGTTCAAACCTGTAACCCATAGAACACTCAGTGTTGTATAACCATCACCTCTGTCCAGTCCCCAAACATGAGCAAGGGCTGGGTTCAGTGGGGAAGAGAAAGGGTAGGGAACCTTTCCAGATGTTGTATTCCATCTATCCTCCTGAAGCTGTGTGTCCTGCTTCACTCAAGGGACAGCAATAAGGGCTGTCTGTGAGAGGCCAGCAACAGCAGCACATGCCAGGGCTGAGCAGGAGTGTGCGTGTCGGAATGATGCACATGTCAGTGCTGTGCTCCCATCCCTCCTTTCTACCTGGGCCACAGAGAAGGCAGTGACCAGGAGAGCCATCGGGGCCACCACTGTGTGAGCAGCACAGTGATTTGTATCATCTTGTTTAACCTTGACATAGGCACTGTCATTAGGAGCTTCAGGAGTGTGCGTTATCTGCTTAAGGTCACACAGCTAGTTAGGTGGGAGCCAATTTAAACAGTGCTTTAACGCCTATACCAGCCCACCACAGTTCTTTTACTCTACTTTATGTAGGCATTCTGGGAGTGAACACCTGAGCCCCTGAGACCAACTACCGTCCTTGGTCATCTGCTACGATCCCTTCCCTCATGGCCTTATATGGAACTTGCAGCTGTTCTTCCCTCTCTCTTGCCTCCATCCCCCCTCCCCTAGATCATTCCTGTTGCTGTAGAAATATGTTGCTATATCCTACAATCCCTTTTGACCCCAGAACCCCCTCTCCTGTCACCCCAGTTACCTGCTGTCAATGTGTGCTTAATAGGAAAATAAAATATCAATAAAATAAAATGTTAAATGCTTAATATCTAATGAGTGTAAACATTAACATTTTCAGCATCAACAGTTTACCTGCTTAGAAGATCTAAAAAAATAACAGCAGAAATAAATTCCTATGTGAACTACACTGAAAATACAAACAATACTCTACCACAGAAATAATCTTGCTTCCATTATCACACCTAAGGCAGTCTTCACACATGACAACAGCATGTCCGATACATAAGTCTCACTCACACTGACAGCACATGTACTTAGCTTTCCTTTCCTCTTTGGCAGGCCGTACTTGTCATCTCTTATGTCTCATTCTTGTCAGGAGCTTCCTCTTTTTTGCTGGTTGTTTTGTTTTGTTTTGTTTTGTTTTTTGAGACAGGGTATCTATCACTGCATAGTTGAGACTGACCTGAAATTCACTATGTAGCCCAGGCTGGTCTCAAACTCACAGCAATCCTCCTGCCTCAGCCTCCCGAGTGCTGGGATTACAGGTGTGCGCCACCACGCCTGGCTCAATGTTTGTTTTGTTTTTGATACTGGCTATTGAACTCAGAACCTCAGGCTTGCCAGGCAGGTGCAGCACCACTGAGCTGTATCCCTGGCCCAGAAGCTTCCTATTATATTTATTATACAATGTGCATTAACCAAGAAAATGAAATATCAATAAAATGTATCAAATATAATGTAATGAATGTTTAGAATAAACATCAACATTTTTTACATCAACTGCTTACTAAATCTAAAAACTGGCAACAAATAAATTCCTGTACAAACTAAATACAAATAAAACTTTATCACAAAAATAAGCTTTACTTCAATTATTACACCAAAGGCAGTTTTCACACCTGAAAACAGCATGTTCCCATTGCTTACACTGATAGCACATGTGCTTTGTTTTCCTGTCTCCTTTGGTAGGACATACTTGACAGCAGGCTGGTCTTCTTGTTTACTTGGGAGGTTCTTATAATGTTTTACCTGTCTGTTCACCAGTCTGCTCCAGAATTTTCTTGCAGAGTTCTTTGGGCAGATACGTATTGTTCTTACTCTGTTGTAATTGATCATTTCTCAATTCCAGTCCCAATCCTCTAAGAAATTTTCTTTGTGATAGTTTGTGCTTGTTATTTTCTTTGTAAACTATGAAACTACTTATGCCTGACATGTTTAGGGTCAAGTAAAACACAACTATTGGCCAACGCTTTGTGTTTTGAGTGACATCATAGTTGCTGCATAACTCATCAACAACATCTACTCCGCCTTTCGTTTTGTTGCAATATGTGACCATTTCTGGCTTCTTTTGTGTTGAGGAGTCACTATAAATCTTTTTTGTCTGTTTGTTGTTTTGAGAAAGGGTCTCTCTATGTAGTCCATACTACTCTTGAACTCACTATGTAGAACAGGTTTACCTGAACTCATAGGATCCTCCTGTCTTAGTCTCCCTAGTGCTGGGATTACAGGCATGCACCACCATGCCCACCTGGCTTCACTATCCAGCTTTTATCATCATGGTGTAATGTTGGCAGTATCAGTACTACTTTGATTTTCTTCACCATATAGGATGCCAATGTCATATCTTTCTGAAATCCAAAGATTGTACTATACATTTCTCGATTGTGAACTTGCAACATTTTTTCAGGAATCTCTACTTTGTTCTTGCGAATAGTTCTCTGCTGGCCAACTGGTGGTTTTTTAACAAATGTAACATCAATGGGGAACTTGTAAACCAGTGTGACATTTGGGTTATTTTTTGAAATAGATGCAGCAAGTCTGTTCACAACATCATACAGTTTATTCCTGCACAAATAAAGACCTGGTGGCTGAGTTTCAGGATAAATTTCTAAATTCAAGGTGAAAATGTGTTTGCATGTACCAGGGCATATATTTTATACCATATTTGGAAAATTTATTTACTTTTGGCATATATTACCAAAACCTTCAACATCACCAAACAATGCAAGTTGTTGATTTTCATGTATTCAGACAGTGTATAAATTGCTGGACAGTTTGAAACAAAGCTTTCAAAAAATGAGCAGATAGCAGCCAAATTGTTGAATTTTTTTTTTCTTGGTGAGTCTTTTGTCATCATAATGTAGGCAGTTTTGAAAGAAACCAAATCTCTTGAGTGTCATTGTTCTCCAAATCTCAACACCATATCATCTGTCACTTCTCCATGAATCCTTTAGATTCTGATTAGCATAATTAGAATGATAAAGTCCTGCTATGAAGGCTTTTAGTTCAGATAGTGGGGTATCATGATACATATATTTTTTGAGTATGACTACTGATACACATAGAATGTTTTCCTTGTATATCATTATTAGTGTATTTCAAAACATTTTGTAACATATTGTCCATTAAACAATTTCCAACACTGAATCACAATGTTGGCATTCTGTCCAATAGTTTTCACCCCTGGCAAGAACCTAATAACATTTTCCAACCTAGTTCTAACAGTGGATTGTTCAGATATACATGACCATTTTGTAGCATTTTGACTAGTCAAATGTTTATTTATATTACTGCTTTCTTCCTCATCTGAATCAAGGTCCTTGTTCTGTACTTCTCTATCTGTCGTAGCTTGCTAACTTCTTTGCCTTACATGATCCAAGTCATCATCAGTAGCAGAATCACCTGATGACTCACTTTCAGCCTCCCCCCAAAGTTGTAAAAGCAGATTTTCATATAACATTGTATGGAATTGGACTATTTCTATAAGAAAAATCAAAAGAAAACATGTAATAAAAATTATAAATACACAGAAATGTAAAACGGTATATAATGTGGTAAAACTTAACCATTTGCATTTTGGCACATGTGCACACACCTTGCTGTTTGTTATACCAAGTGGGTGAACACCAAGATCGCTTCCTGAATTACCCCAGTGCAGCTACCGAGATGCACGGCTGGCTACTGTTATGCTTAAGTACATATTTTCATTAGAAAAATACCGTTGGGGTGTTTTTTTAACCCACCATAATCCCCCTTGGGTTGCCACTGAACTGCACACTTTTAAGTGCTAAGTGATTAAATGGTTAAAATGGTAACTTTTATATGTGTTTTACCACAATTAAAAATGAAAAGAAAGCAATACACTGACACTCGGAGATATTGACATTGACTTGGACATTTCCTTGTTTTTATATCTTTCTGGATTGACTTTCATGGATCAAGTATTTTTTCATTCTCTCTGTGCTGATACACTGATTGTGTTCTGTCCTCTTGATTTTTTTTCACCCTTATCCTTTCATTTAGCAATCAAGTTATTTGAAGCTTCTCGTGAACCCTTACTCCTTAGCTGTCTTTTCACTTGTGGTGCTTTTAGTGTTGTTGGCAATCCTGTTTATGTGGTTGCGGATGTTACCTTTTGGTACGAATTGCTAATGTAAATCTCAGAAGTTATGAAAAGCAACACTGCAAGGACTCCACCCCATTAGCATTTCAAGAGTGATATTTTGGCCTGCTCTGAGTAATGTAGAATTGGTTAAAATTTGTAGGTTATTAACCACAGTTTTTTTGTTTTGTTTTGGTACCAGGGATCCAACTCAGGTCCTTGTGCTTGCAAGGCAGGCAGTGGAACCACTGAGCTAAATCCCCGGCCCTAACCACAGTTTTGATTGATGGACTTCCTGAAGTTTGTGGAAAACAGAAAAATGTTTTTATACTTGTGGAGAAAATGGAATTCATGATATGCTTTGCAGATTTTTTCATTGGTACTCTTGCACTGGTCCTGTGCACTTGTTGTAGTACTTGTTCTTGCACCAAAAAGTGAGCTAGCCAGTTGCTTATTATTTCTTAATATCAGGTTTAGAAAGCAATCAACATGTAAAGATAGAGTAAATGGAAATTGTTTCCTAACAGAAATGAAAGTTAATTCAGTTTGATGAACATTTTTGAGTGCTTTTCTTTTAGATTGGGAGTTGAACTCGGGGCCTTTACATGCTAGGCAAATGCTCTACCCCTGAGCTGCATCCTTGGCTGTTAGGCTTGATGAGATGTACAGTACTCTTGCCACCAGGCAGTTTAAAGTGGCTTTCAAGAAGACCATGGTACTCACAGAGACATTTAACCTTTTGTTTCTTTTCAGCGAGTGGGCCACGGTGATGACAACCATGCAGATGCCGACCGATCACCTATATTTCTTCAGTTTATTGATTGTGTTTGGCAAATGACAAAACAGGTGAGACATTTCAATTATATTTCTGACCTATAGACTTTTTGATTCAATACATCTTGAAGTTGAAGATGAGAGAAATGCATTAGTCAGATTTTCACTGCTATGACAGAATGCCTGGGAAAGTCATCTTAAAGGATGAAAGGGTTATTTCAGAGGTTGCAGTCTATGGTTGGCTGGCTCCATTGCTTCTAGGCCTGTGGCGAGGCAGATATATCATGGCGGAAGAGCATGGCAGCCAGGAAGCAGAGAAGGGAAGAAAGTTAGAAAGAGGCCAGGAGCAGATCCCCCTGGTCATACCCTGTGATCTGCTCCCTTCAACCGGGCCCCAGATTCTGTTTCCATCACCCCCTAATCATGCCATCAAATTGTGATCCCATCAGAGACAAGCGTCAGTGACGAAGTTAGAGCCCAATGAGCCAGCCACGTTCCTAAAGCCCATCAGCAAAAGTGAACCTTTGGGAATATGTTAGATCTCAACCATAACAATAAGCTTTCATTGTTGTTTCATTCAAAAAGGTTTGTATGTGTGTAATATATGACCCTGTCTATTATTTAATATGCTTTGATTCTAATTCACTTAGAAATACAGCAGAAAATTAGAAATAATCAGTTTCACACCCCAAGTTACTTTTCTTCTGCAAATAGTTTTTGTCAAGCCTCTTGTCCAGCAGCTATACAAACCAAGGCCCTATTCCTTAGTTAATTCTGCTACTGCTCCATTTTTGTGTCAGGTTTAAGAAACCTGTTAAGTCTCCTGCTAGGCAGTCAAAGATTTGGCCCGATGTTATAAATGGGATATGGCTAAACTGCTAGTAAATGAAGTCAGATCAGAAAGTCCAGGAATCTCCATAACCTGCCCCAAACCATAGCCCCTCAGGCCTAAAGGTCACCAGGGGAAACGTATGTCCTGAGCTATACAGCAGAGAAGAAACTGTATAGCATCTTGCCATTAGCTTCCTTAGTCCCCGCCCTCAGTGCACAGGGCCCTAAGCCGGGAGCTACACAGGGCTCCTCTTTCCCTACATTAAGCCCCATGGCTCCAGATTACAGCTGGCCTTAGGGCCCATCTCCAACGTCCATACCTGGGTTTGGGTCTCAGCCTCAGGATAGAATGTAGGGCCAGGGTAGTGGACCTGGAAACAGAGAAATAGAAGGAGGAGATGGAGAGAGTCATTTTCCCCATGCTTGTTGGCCAGCCTGGCTGATGGAGAGGCTGCAAGGAAGAGTAAGCTGACTGAGTCCAAGGCCAGCATTCTCTATGCATGTGCCAGAGCTCTGCTGGCCATGGCCACTGCTTCAGTCCTGGGGAAGGGAACCAGCCAGAGGGCTGCTGGCGACCAGCAGGGATTCCCTCAACAGCATGATGCTCATGTGTGAGCCTCCTGAGACTTTCAAGGGCCATGTGCCTATCCACTGCACAAAGTTGTGGATATCAGTCCTGCTTGCTCACTGGAAGCTGCTGTTACTGAGGGAAGTATGTGCTAGGGCAGAAAAAAGTTGAGGATCCACATGTTTCTCCTGTCCCTGCTGTTGCCTCACCATCTCCTGTAGACTTGGGGCTCCCTGCAGACCCACTGGTTCTCTGGAGGTAGAGCTGCACCCTTGTTTTAGAGCTCTCCAGAAGGTGCTTTTATGTACTTGGCTAGGGAGATCACTGCTAGACCAGCCCTACCAAGACTGCTGAGCAAACGGCCCTGGAGTTCCCCACCAGAGAGCATATGCACTCATGCGCACACACACCTGATCTGAGTAAGTGGGCCCGGGGTGGAGTGGGCACTGCTGCATTTCAGACAAGGCACACTGTAGGGCCTGGAGAACACAGTCCTGTCTTCAGAAATAAGAGGGCATAGGGAGCTTTTGTCAACCACAGTAGATCCCACAGAATAATCAGGCCCTCGTTAGGAACTGACCCTTACTTTTAGACCCAGTGGCAGTATGCCGAATGGGGCTCACATTATCTGGGTGCCGGGTCATGGTGGGTTTAAAATAGCAAGGCAGAGAGATGGCTGGTCTCAAGAGAAGGCGTGCCACCTGTGTAAGTGACAGGTGACAGCACACGGGCTTGGAAAGCTTACTGTGTTACAGTTCCGCACACTTTCGGCTACTTGGAGTGATGCTGAACCAATAACAGAATTAAATGGTTATTATCTTTAGATTAAGACAAAGCAGGAAACACATTTTAGAAAAACTGCATAAAAAGGTTGAATGTAAAAAATATAATTCTGATGCCACTAATGAGATAAACACCATTTTAATGCCTCTAATAAGATAAGTGTCAGTTTTGTGGATGTGAAGCAGTGTATTCGTCCTAAATGTTTATGGAGGGCTGTGTGTGTGTATAGTTAATTCCTGGGTTGATGCTTGTAAACTGCTTATGGTAGCTTTATTGCTAATATTGAGAACGCTTAGGAAATGACTGCTTCTCAGAGATGTCTTCCAGGAGTAGCTGGCTTTTGGGTTTTGAATCTGTTGTAAGGTCCTGCCTCTTCAGCTTTTTGGGGATGAGAAGTTGCTGCTTAGTTGGTCTAGACCCTGGTTCTTTGGCCTTGGCCTATGGTATTATTTTTGACCCTTAGGCAGTCTCACTCTTGGCATAGCAGGAAGAACAACTGATTAAAACAATCATGTCACATTGGCTAAAGCAGTACAATCAGCAATAACAATAGCATCAAACAGCCTAGAAAATGACAAACTGTAATAATTATTAATTTGCTACCTTTAACTGTATGAACTAGATTTGTGGTTATATAACAAAATCTAAAACAAACCAGAAAATTGTATACAGTTAATATGCCCTCAATATAGTGATTTTTACACTCCCAGAGAAAATTTAAAAGAGGTTAGGGGGAAAAATAGAGAAATAGAAGAAGAGGAAGAGATTAGAAGCAAGGCTGGAGAATAAAGGAAGATTGCACAAGCTTTGGGAAGCTGGTGAAGAAGACAGGGAAAAACAGAAGGAAGAAAAAACAGAACAGAACAAAAACACTAGAAACAATGTTCATACTCATAAAAAACAAAAACAATCAAGGAAAAAGCAAAGGAAAAAATGTCCACATCAAGGTGTGTCTCTGCTGTCACTTGGTAGACAAATTGGGATCTGTGTTGATTAATCCCAGCAAGCCAGTCATAGATTTATGGCAGGGTAGTGGATAATTCCAGCAAGCCTGCACTGTTAGTTCTACTGTAGTTCAGGCTGGTTTCTGGCTGTGAGGCTGGAACCCAATTTGTTCATCCTGCAACACTCTGTGAGTCTCTTGCCAGCTTGAACTCAGCTCCCTGCCAGCATGAACTGGGTTCCTTGACCTCTTGCTGACTTGAACTCAGTTCTACCTTGTCCTGACACTGGGAGCCACTAGATGGAGCCGGGCCACAGTTGCTCTGAGTTCTGAGCTCAGTTGGCCTCTCTCCAAGATAGTGGCTGGACAGTCACCCTTTCTGGGGGACATCTGAACCCCAATAACTCACCAGCCACCAGTCTGCTGTGTCCACTGCTCTGTTCTCATGGTGTATTTCTCCTCAGAGACCTTTGAAGTTGCCAGGAGTCACTGTGTATCTGCAGGTTCGAGCCACCCCTCCCATGCAGCAAGTCAGGGCTTGGAGAAAGCACCACTTGCTACCTCCTCTTTCTGTGTTGAGGTGACTCTCTCTGCTCTCCCAGTGGGCTTCAGTTCTCATTTCCAATCCTTGCTGGGTTTCAGAGACCCACTTCCCTCCTTCTCTTTCTCACACTGCTATCTTCCAGCATCTGGACACCAGATCTTGGAGACCCTTCTCTGCTGTTCACCACTCTACCATCTTCCTGAAAGTTCATTCCAGTACTCCGTTCAATGTACTACAGGCCTGAGTACCTAGTCTCTTTGCATAAGAACACCAATCACATTGCATTAGGACCCACTTTTGATTTTAAACTAGTTACTTCTTTAGAGACCTTAGCTTCTAGGTAGCAAGGCACTGCTTTTCTTTTTCTCAGCATCATAGCACAACACAAAGAGGTGCAGGGAAAAGAGGTACATGCTTGTCATCCCAGCACTCTAGGAAGCTGAAGCAGGAGGATTACAAGTTTGAGGCTAGCCTGGGCAATTTAGCGACTTAGCAAGACCAGTAGGTAGAGGTTTCAGTTCATAACAAGCTGGTTCCTAGTCAGGGCAGCATGGCAGAGGGCTATTGCAGAGGAGAAACGGTCCATGGCAGGGCAGGCAGGCAGAAAGCCAGCATCAAGCAACAGGTGCGTGTGCGTGTGCATGCGCACTCGTGTGTGTGAACCACCGAGCACCTTCAAACTTACTTCCTTTCTTCATACTGCTTGGTACCTGTTTTTGTATCTATTGTTTATTGGATTTTAAGAAAGAAAATAGAGGTTTAGATTAGAACATTTCAGGTGCTTCTCACAGCTGAGATTCTGTTCATGAATCCCATCACCTTGAGACTTAGGATTTGAACATGTGAATTTTGGAGGGACACAAATAATCCATGACACTCATGTGGTTTAAAAAATGTCAATAATTTGCTGGCTTGTGAGTAAGTGTTTATTCCTTTTTTTTTTTTTTTTTTTTTTTTTTTTCCCAGGATTTAATCGGACTTTT